TCAAGGAGTATTGGCATTTCTACAGTTCCTCCCCCCCCCCCCCCCCCCCCCCCCAGCGAATATCTTGTGCAGGAGCTTGTTGTGCACAATAAGCAAAAAAAAAAAAAAAAAAAAAAAAAAAACCCAAACCCTAAAAAAAAAAAAAAGGAGAAAAAAAAAAAATCAAGCTGTTCCGGTGGGAACAGCCAACACGTTGAATAAAACAAACGCACGCGTGTTAAGCCCCGGGGACGCAATTAGGCTCGGAGCAGGGGGAAGAGGCGTTTAACTCCTGGAAAAGGAGATGGCAGCGGGAGAGGGGAAAAGGAGAATAAACCTGGTGCCTGACACTGCGTCCCCTGGGGTGTCTTTCCCCAGGGGGATGAGCCCAAGTGGCAGCAGGGTGCCAGCACCACAAGGGGAAGAAGGTCACCTCATCGTCAGCCCCATCCTCCTGATTTCCACCCCTGTGCCCCCAGGAGTGGGGAGCACCCAGTGATAACTCACTCCAGCCCTCACTGTACACCCTGAGACAGAGGTTGCCCAGCTCTAAACCATCTCAACCATCCATCAACCAGCTGAGATCTTCTCTCCACCAGCTCCAAACCTGAGTTTTCCCCCTACCACAGCCCACATTAACACTGCTCAAATCCATCTCACCATGGGATGCCCCCAGGGCAGCCACAGCCCCACAAGCCCTTCTTGCTGCCACTTGCTTCAGGCCCTTCAAACCCAGGGAACCCAAAAGCACATATGGGGAAGAAAAGTTCTCACCCAACACAAAAATAAAAAAGAGTCAGTGCTGCCCACTCCAGTGGCCAGGTTTTCATACTTTTCTCCCCACCTTCTTGCAGTTTTTCAGCAGGGCATCTCTGAGGATTGAAACGGGACTCTTCCCCCTCTGCTCCTTACCCAAATCACAGCTCCCACTGGTTCATCGGAGCTTGCAGACCTTGCCTCAGCAACAGAGGAAGATTGAAGTCCTCAGCACTGCTGGTTTTAATTGCAAGTCAGAGCCAGGGATGAATTTAGAAAGAGGGAAGAGCAAAACCCATGGAGTTCTAAGTGACAGCAAAGCTCTTTGATATCAAAGCCAGCACTGACAGATGCAGGAGCCCGCAGTGCTCTGCCCTGGGCCAGCATGTCACCGTGCTCTGCAGAAAGGCTTTATGGGGAGCTTAGCCCAGATCATATTTAGAAAGTTATACTGCAGTAAAATTAAAGGGGAAAAAAAAATAAAACCACCTAAGAGTTTTTCAGCGTCACCAGGTCCCAGCACAAACTCCTGCAGGAGCTGCTTGGGCAGACTTCACGATCTCAGACCCCAATTAGGATAGACTTTGAGGAATTGCCTCAGCATTCCCAGTTTTTAACCACACTGTATCCTTCACAGCGGGCTCCCCACCCAGCTTTGGAGGCAAAAGCACCGTGCTGGCTGCAAAGGTAAGGAGGATTTAACACATGCTGGATGTCTGCTGGGGTGCTTGGCAGGGATTTGCATATTTAGAGGGTAGATGAAGGTTTCATGATGATGAGTCATTAAAGTGTCCCGAGTGTTGTTTACTCCCAGAGCAATCCTACATAAGGAAACAGGACTTTTCCAGAAGTGGTTCCTCATTAGGAGGGGATAACTCGAGTGCCACCCAGACCTACAGCTACAGAAAGGTTTTGGGCAGCAACGACTGTGGCTTCCCAGAGACACCTAAATCACAGCACAGTATTAGAATTTCTAAAAAACCACCAAAACAGCTTTCTGCCAGGTAATGTGATTTAGTACCTGTCTTTAGACATAAAGTACCTATGCAGAGCATCACCACAGTTCTGCAAGGACAAAATCTGAGGTTTGTCTTATACAGGCAAATAAAACAGCACCAGGTTAAGCCTGACAGCTCTGGATTAAATTCCAACTTGGCAACTAAAACTCAACCTTGACTCTAATTCTTACCTCAGGCCCTTCTGCAAGAAATACCAAGCTCAAGAACAAACAAGCAAATTAAACAGCACCAGGCTGCCTGATAATTATGGATTAAATTCCAACTTTTCAGCTAAAATCTGACCTCTTACCTCAAGCTCCCTTGTGCTGAAATATCCAGCTCCTCATGGACACTTTTTTACAGACCAGTACAGAAGACTTTCACTGCGGATCCTTTTCCTTTTAAACCCAAAGACATCTTTGCTTTCACACTGACTCAACACGGAGCTAAATCTTGTTTTAATAACTGTTTACAGCCTTAAATGATTTACTACAGCTTTACTAGAAGTCAAGGCACTACAAGTTTATACACAGATCTTATGCCACGGGGTGAGTGAAGCGAGGGCTCCGCTTAAAACCCCAACTCGCGTTTTTCTGTGTGCGTTTATTTAAACAAGCTGAAGCATTCCAAGTGCCAGGGAACACCAGGAGAGCCCGAGAGGAACTTCCTCTGCGGTCCATCATCCTCACAGAGCGGCAACTGTTCAAAAGCCACAGATGTCTCCAAACTAGAGGACCCTGGCTGAGATGGGTTAGCCAACGCGTCCCGATGATAGCGGGGAAGCGGCGGCTCGCAGGGGTGGTAGCAATGACTGAGGTCGCTGTGCAGACAGGACTGGAGGGTTACATCCCTCCCAGCCTCCTAAAAAACCAGCCACAAAACCAACGAGAGCGACCCAGGTGAGAAGGGTGAAATCCCGGGTCAAGGAGCTGCTTCAGCTCCAGCACTTGAGGGGCTGGAAGTTGGCAGAGGAGAGACAAGGCTACGCTCACACCTACTGCAAATCCACGAGAAAGTCCTGCAAATATGGAAACAACTTAAGGAAAAAGGTATGTGTTCCCTGGAGATTGTTCACACACATATTTGCACAGAGAAGTTGTGGCTGCCCTGTCTCTGCAAGTGTCCAAGGCCAGGTTGGACGGGGCTTGGAGCCACCTGGGATAGTAGAAAGTGTCCCTGCCCATGGCAGGGGGGTGGAATGAGACGGCCTTTAGGGTCCCTTCCAGCCCAAACCATTCCACGATTTTACATTGCTGCTGGACAGCCAGTGGCACCGTCAGGACTCAAGAGCGAGAACAACCGTCACAGACACGAAAAAGCGGCAAAGCAAAGCTTTAAGGAAGAACCGACCTAAAGCAAAACTTTTCCGTTAAACTGGGAAGGGAAGAGATCCGAAGGCGCGATCCTCGCCGAGAACAGATCCACAGGAGCTGTTCCAGGACGGCCTCCCGCTCGGCAAAGCTGCTGTGCCACCTACAGTTACTTCGGGTCCAGAACAAAATCCTTTTCCTACGCGACCCCAAGTCCCTGTCACCGCACCGAGTGTCCCCCGGCGCTGCCGCGGCCATGCCGGTTAAGGAAGCGCTTCCTTTGGCAAGGCACGGGGGGGGGGAGGCACCGCAGAAAAGAACTTTTAAATCAGAAAGTGAGTTTTCAAGCGCATTAAAAGCAACTCTCCAACCACATTTCGAATAAACTCATTGCTGAGGTCTTCCCCAACGCACACCACCGCCTAAACTCTTTACACGAGTTCAGCCTGGGACGTAAAGTTTCGCTTTTTTTTTTTTTTCTTTTCTCCTTTTTTTTTACTGCGGCTTTTACACCAGCACAGTCAGGCAACCGCATCCGCGAGCACCGGAGCGGAGCTGAACACCGCAGCGTGCCCTCCACCCCTTTTCGGGTGTAAACAAGCCCAAGTGGGGGGATAAAGCACCCCCAGAACATCCAGCCCCGAAGTTCCCATCGCTCCTCCATCCCCCCAGCTCCTCCCCGTCCCACCGCATCCCCGCTCCCGGGGCTGGGACCGAGGAGCCAGCTTTGGACGGGGTGTCACGAAACCTTCAGCAACGGCACAAAGCGAACGTTCCCTACGTTTGTTTGTTTGTTTGTTTTGTTTTTTTCCCACCCCCAATTCCAAGAAGGGGAAGCAGGACAGCGGGATACCTCCCCTCCCCACCGCCTCCAGCCCACCCTGCCCGCCGCATCCCGCTCCCGGTGCAACAGGCGGAGCAAAGCGGGAGGGGGAGCAGGGATGGGGACACCCCGCAAGCTGGGGGTCACACCGGTCCTGGTCCCTCCCGGTGCGTCCCCCCCGGGTCGCCGCTGTCCCTCACCGCAGGGCTGGAGGAGGAACACCTGCCGCGCTGCCATGGCCGCTCCGCTCAGCCCGTCCGCACCATCGCGGGGGGGGTGGGTTCCTACTTCTTCATTTATTTTCCCCGCCAGAGATTAAAAAAAAAAAAAAAAAAAAA